TAACCAAATACATATTTTAAAACAATAGTATTTTTTAGGAATGCTGAGAGTCTAATTTGTACACCAAAATTAATAAATTCTATTATTGGTTTTGCAAAACTTAGCTGAGTCTAGAATTGGTTGGTATTACAGAAGGCAGATGTAGAAAAAGACCGAATGCTGCAAGAATAGTACTGTTTGAGTTTCGGAAAATGAAAATAAGAATCTGTGGAAAACTGAGACTTTTAAGTAAGAAAGAGATTGTAGTGTAGAAGGTACTTGAGATACAAACATTGTATTGTTGGAAGTTCTGGTAATGCAAACAAAATTTACGTGCACTTGTGATCTGTTACTTGCTTTGGAGTGCTGAAGAGCATGTATCAAAATAAAAGTGTTTTGAGGCCGTGCACAGTGAGAAATAAACTGCACAGTCGAGCTCCTGCATGATCTGTTATAAAGAGATTTCATTTGCCTTTGAAATTAGGTTATTATATTTGCCTTCTTAAATAAACACTCATGTCTTCTGAAGTGTGAAAAATTTTATGTGATCAAGAAGTAGCAGTTGCTTTGTGTGTTTTCCCTCTTTGCTGATGAAACTAGGAAGGATTTCAAACTTACTAGTATATTATGTACTTTCTGTCTGTGAAGGAAATGTAGTAAATGTGTGTTCTCTAGATCAATATTTTGAAAAGCAAACTGGCAGAGAAATGATATGGTAGTGGTTTTTGATAGCTTGAATGTTGATCCTGCTGAAGATATTATTTAGGTGCATTTTCACTTCTTGTATGTTTCTTATTTTGTTGTTGTGGAGACAACAGTCTTCCCATGTGAAGCTCAAAAAGACCATCCTTATTTCTTGGATTTGTTCACATCTACTACAAAATACTGATTTTTTTTTTTTTTTTTTTTTTTTTAAGAAGATGTTGTTTCAGAGAATTTACATGTTCTCTTTACAGTGCTTTCAAGGTAATTGTTTACCTAATTGAAGTCAGAATAAGTACCTAAGGAATGGGATAATAAAATAGTCTTTGATGAATTAATTAACTTCTGAAAATATGAAGAGTGGATAATGCCAAGCTGTATTTTGTTTTTATGTGAGAAAAAATTTAAAAAACTTGTAAAATCAGATGCTGTTAGTTTTGGAATTTCCCAGGTATATGAAGTAGATTATATTGTTTAAAGCAAAATGAATTGTTGATGAGTAAGTTTTCATTGTGTACAGGTCACATGTAAAGAACACCACCTAAGACTTGTAAAATGATTCATTAATGAGCAATTTTGACACAGGTTGCTGATAGCTGGAGAGAGAATTGTGTCAGGAGAAAGTTGTTTGGAAATGTTCTTTGTTTTTTCAAAGCTGATAGCATGACTATGTAGCATCTGTGGAAGTTTTATGTACTGCAAATTTCAGCACACTAATTTTGTCTTTAGTTTTGACTAAAGTGCTAATGATTCTGGATATTGTTTCTGCTTTGGAAATCTGAAAAATGATGAAGTAATTGGTTACATTTAATAGAGTTATGCAATGAATCATTAAACAACTTTTTCTAACTAAGTCATATATAATTTTAGAGATATTTTCCAATTCAAATTCTGTCTGAAAACTTTATGCAGTTAGAAGCTGCTGTCCTAGACTTGCAAGGGATCTTCAATTTTGAGCCTATTTGCTGTGGATTTGGAATTTTGTAGATTTCATCTGTTGCATGGAAACATGTATATAAAAATTAATGAAAATAATGCAGTAATAACTAATCTAGAAAGAACAGCTTAATTTTTCCATGAGGCATAGAAAAATAGTGAAACAGTTGATTAGATATTTAAGTTTTGTCTTATAATCTCACACTAAGCTTTTCTACTCTTAAGTATTTCTAAAGGAATTTTGTTGGATGGAATCTTGTGTCATTTTGTTCTCCAGTACAAATGTATTTGTAACATGGAAATGATCATTGGAAAGTGAATGTGACTGTTCTTCATCTCAGTTGAAGACTGTAGTAGATGAAGTATTCAATAAAAACTACATGTAGTGTTAGAGAAAGTCTCTTGGAAATCTGTGGCAGAGGCGCTAGAAACTTTCTCTGCGCTCTCCTAGAAGATGTGAGAAGAAGCTGTGTTACTAAATTACTGTAACTGCCAAAACTTGGGATTAGAAATATGTGAACAGATACTTGAGAGGTGAGAAACTGCAGAGGTATGAAAATGCCAGAAGACTGAGTGAATTTTTAATGCCTTGTGCTGAAACCAGGACTGTTTCTTTACTGTGTTTCATAAAATAATAAAATATCCCATGTTAGAAGGGGCCCAGAAGAATTATTGAAGTCTAACTCCTGCCCTGCACAGGACGCCCCAAGGGTCACATCATGTGCCTGAGAGCACCTTCTTGATCTCTGTCAGGCTGGTGCTGTGACCACTTCCCTGGGGAGCCTGTTCAGTTCCCAGTCACCCTCTGGGTGAAAAACTTCTACTGATATCCAACCTAAATCTCCCCTGACACAACTTCAGGCCATTCCCTCAGGTCCTGTCACTGGTTGCAGCATCTCTGTAGTTCTTCCCTTCATCAGACCTTGCTTTTACTGGGCATACAGCTCACTTTCTTGCCTTATTTCTGAGAGACAGTTCCTGCTCAGCCAAGCTGGCCTTCTGCCTCCTCCACTTGACTTCTGACATTTTGGAACTGCCTGTTCCTCTGCCCTTGGGAGGTGGTGCTTAAAAAATGACCAGACCTGATGGACCCCACCACCCTCAAAACCATTTTCTCAGGGCATCTTACTGGTTCTCTAAACGGCTTGAAGTCAGCTCTTGTCATGACCAGGACTGAAATTTTACTGTCACTTTTCCTTCTGATAATGGAGATTTTAATTTTAAACTCAATTGCTTTGTGGTCACTGTGGCCAAGGTGGCCACCAGTCACCAATTCATTCATGAGATCCTCCCTGTTAGTATCACATCAAGGAGGGCAGCTTTCATAGCTGGCTCCATTAGCTGCTGCATTATAAGACTGTCCAGATTTAGGACTGGTCTGGACCTATTTGTGCCAGCTGTGTGATGCTCCCAGTTAACATCTGACAAGCTGATGTTCTTGTAAGGACAAGGGCAGCTGTTTTGAAGGTGTCCCTTAGTTCCTCAGGGTAATTCTCTGGAATCATTGTCCTGAGTAGGTGACCTATAGTAGACTCCTACGATGACATCCACATTATTTTTTTTGTCCCTTAATCCTTACTCAGAGACAATCAGCCTGCCATCGCTGGCTTCAGGCAGTATTCCAGCCCTTCCAGCTCACCTGCCCTGACTGTCCTCTTGGAGAGCTTGTGACCATCCAACATGGCGCTTCAATCAAGGGGCTCATCCCACCAGGTTTCACTTTCCAGTGATGATCCTCATGCTGTATGTGTTGGTGTGGAAACATTTTTGATGTGATCCATTGTAGCTGACACCTCCTGGACCAGTTTAAGGATCTCACTAGCACTCAGTTCCTTGAGTTTTGGCATACCATCCAATTGCTTATCACTGTCAAACCTGTTTATGTCCTTTTCCTTCTTCCAATGTAATTTAAAGCTTTGTCAAGTTTTTATTTTCCTCTGTAGCTCTTTTGCTGCTGTATGCTTTTCTTAAAAGTAGAGAAAAATGTTAGTATACTGATACTAGCAGTGATGTATGATCTTGTAATTACAATGTGAAGGGTACTGCTTTTGGTACCTGAGGGAGCATGTTTCATTTAAGTTTGTCATTCCTGGGCAGTGGAATGTTCTATTTATCTACTTTAATGTTCTCTTAATTAGTTTATATAGGAGTGAATCTGGAACATGAAAAAGGAATGAGGTAGATAGGAAGTTTGGTTTTTTTAAAGGTGACTTGCACACTTGAGTATGAACATTGTCATGACGACACTTTGGAACATGTAAGCTTGCATAAAATTACAGTGGTGTTCCTGCTGTTGCTGCAGGATCAGGCATTTGAGAAATGTATGAATAAAGAAGATGCTTAACTGAACTCTTCTTTTATTCTGCCTTATGTAGTATCCTGGAGAGTCGTTGTTGCTACATGTGGCATATAGTCTTCAGTAGTGTTAAGTGGGACATTTTCAAACAGAGATTTAGAGAGATGTGTAGATTTATAGCTCTAATCTAGGGATACTTCTGCAGGTGTTAGGTATGTGAGTTGTCAGTCAATTGAAAACCTGTTGTCATTTTTCTTACTTTTCTACACTGTGCCTCTCCTTACTTTACACACAGTCTCTCTACAGGGCTTGGAAAAGTCTATCAGATTACACAAAAAAAAAAAAAAGGCAACCTCTGGTAGCTATTGTTAGTTGTGCATGTCAGTTACTCTGAAATTATTGCTTCTTCCAATCTTCTTTTAATTTTTATCTTCAGTCTATACAGATTACAGATTTAGTTTATAATTGAGATCTAATTACTTTTTCTAATATGTAATACCATTTTGCCTTTTTTTTTGATAGCTTCTTTTGCCTTCTCTTTCTCTTCACCCTTGGACATAGTAATTTCACTCCTATGATATTGCTTTGTCAACTTGGCTTTGATGGTGTTTGCCATTGTCCTGATACTTAGTTCTATATCTTTTCGAACAATTATTTAAATCCTAACAGTATTCCCTGATGTTGGGCTGAAGTTTATGGTTTAAGTGTGCTCATTTATTTAGGCAGAACAAAAAAATGAAAATTAAACAGAAAATCAAGCTGTGAAATGAGGATGGCGTGTTTTTCACACAGATTGCCCATATTGCATAGCAAGAAAATGATTTTGCAAATAATTTACAATGCTTACACTGTATGTATTCCTTTTGTGCTTCAGATGATGCACACCTTTGAATGATGTATAACTTCTGAGCCTTAAAAATTATGTTGAGTCTTTGAAACAAATCTGCTGCATCTTCCCTAATACTCTAAAAAAACTAATGCAGTTCCAAAAACTGTACTTTCATTCTGTATTAGAAGTTTTTACATGATAAGTAATGGCAAATACTACATAAATATATCTCTTTGCCTTCTGATGCTTTTCCTCTAGAATGTGAGCATTTTGGTGAAGAGAAGATATTGCCATCAACATTATAACACTGTCATAGGTAAGTACAATATAAATAAATATAACCATGAAAATGTTTTGTATTTTTAAGGTAAATACATCATAAAATATTGCACAGGAATTTCAAAATGAAGAAAGTCATAATCACTGTCCTTATTTTGAGTTAGCTGCAGATTATTTTATTAGGAAAATGTAAGAGAACACCTGTGTCCTGGAGATACTGTGACAAGGAATACTTGCATGTCTTCCTTTTCATATGTAGTGTGGGAAAAATGTGAGTGACTTGTGTTGGTTATTTAGCACATATCTTAAAAAAAGGTACTAATTTCAGTTTATAAGAAAGCTTACCTATAGTATAAGTGGAGTATCTGTTAGTTCAACAGGAGGAAAGGGGAGGACATGAGTTGCTGTGTAATAGATTTGTCCATATAATAGGCACATTTCTTTGTGTAAATCAAAATTGATGTTGTTTGTCATGTATTTGGTACTCTAAAAATTCTAGGATTGTTTATTGTTAGTTCTTTCTGAAAAAGCCGGTAAAATATTGAAGTCTTCTTTTCTTTGGTACCTAGAGCATGTGGTTGCATTCTGTTGCATCAAATATGCTGCCCTTCATTCTAAGAACTGAATGGTGACTTTGAAGTTCTACTTCAACAGACTTAATGTTTAGCTTTCTTATTTCTTCCTTAGCTTTTGTAGCATAGTGTGTGAGGGAAAATAACCTATTGCTTCCCACTGAGTCAGTTCCTTTGAGATCTGTGGTTTAGAAGGTGACTTTAGGGTATCTGAAAACCTGCAAGATTGTGTAGTATGTGCCTGTCTTTTTTCTTAAACGCTTCTGTCTGTACCATAAAACTCCACAGCTTTCATTACTTACTGCTGAAGTCCTTTTCCCTGGCATTATACAAGTCAACTTGGATTGTTATCTGCACTTGTGTTTTTTGATTGTTCTCAGAACAAACTTTTCATTCCCCCTTTCACAGTACTGTGGTTGTATTTCTTTGCCAAACAAATTTCCGTGTACTTCATTGTTCAGGTAATAAGTTAGTCAGCTGTTGATTAATGATTTTTAAATGTCATCTAGTTATAACCATGCTATAACTATGTATGACTTAGCAGATGCAACTATTCATGTGACTGTTCATATTATTTGGAATTTTTTCACTACTACCTCTTTGATTTTTGAAATTTTGTGGTACGCTGTTCTGTGAGTAATAATTTTACTTTGTGAGAAATTGTTTTACAAAATAAAAGTGTCTTCAGCTCAAAGTGTTAAAAATAAGCTCCTGGTGACTACCTTTAAAATAGGCTGTAGCACATGAAATACATTTTTCCAGAGGATGTTCTGCATTACTGCAGTGTGTTCACAACATTGAAGCAAATGCAGGAAAATAATTTTGGACAGATATTTAATTCATTGTGGAATTTTGCCAATGTAGAAACTTTTGAATTATGGGGTTTTTACACTGCTGTAATTAAATACAAAACAATATCCAGTGTTCTTATAGCTGAGATTTAAAAACAAGAGCTTTCTCGTGGTTGTTTATTACAGTAGTAAGATAACATTGCTTTTGCTGAAATCCATGTCAGAATTTGTGTCTAGGCAGTGATGCTAAACAAGGGAGAAGTGGAGCAGGGAAACAGATTTATGACAGAAATATAGTAGGGGAGAATAAGTAAATATAGTGTAGTTTTAGATTCTAAGAGTTACTGAAAGAACTCGAGTGTCCTTGCCATGAGTTTATAACTTGTGTATCTCAGAAATTACAGTTCAGAAAATAGAATATATTTCTATTACTTCAATAACTGTGCAGCTTGAGCATTTGCTTAAAACAGCAGATACTATTTGAGGGAAAATAAATAAAATGCTTTCACTTGAAGTGCTGGCATAAGGTGAGGCGAGTGTGTCCATCAGTTTTAAGTGTGTTTATTCAGGAAGAAGTTTTATAGGGCTTTTTTGTAGCTTTTTAAGAAATAACTATTGCTTGAAGTGTTGAAATTTTAGTACACTTCAGTCACAACTATATCACTTGCTGTTGCATACTAGAAATAGAATTAACCTTAAAGTAGTGCTTTTCATAGATCTGTAAAGCAAATATAATTAGTTATAGCTTAATTATGTGTCTAGTTGAAGGGAAAGGTAATTTTGTACAAGAATCTTAGTGTCTTGAATAACTTTGTTTTTCTTTCAACAGAATTCCTCTAAAGACTAGGAAATATTGCTGGTGTCGTGCATTCTGGAAATACGTTTTACTACAGATACCACCAAGGCTTTGCAAACAGGATGAACATGCTGCTGTTGACTGCTTACTGACAGTAACCAGCTGGGCATTTCACTCATGATGTTTTCATTCTCACCTCGTCCAATCGGAATTTGCTTTCACTGATTTTTAAAAAGAGGAATAAATCAAGGTGGAGTACCGTAAACTTGACATGGAAAATAAAAAGAAAGACAAAGACAAACCAGACGAAAGAATGGCACGGCCTAGTGGGAGATCAGGCCATAATCCACGTGGAACTGGTTCTTCAAATTCTGGAGTGTTAATGGTTGGCCCTAACTTCAGAGTTGGTAAAAAAATTGGATGCGGTAATTTTGGAGAACTACGGTTAGGTAAGATCCTCATTTATTTATTTCAGTTTACATTAGTCAGGGCCATTTTTATGCAGTGTAGGCAAGAAAATTTCTCTATGAAATTTTCGCAGGGCAGCTCTTCACACTGCCTTTTTAAAGCTTCAGATGTGCAAGGTATATTCAGCCCATCTTTTGTGGTTTTACCCTAACCAGTGTAAGCTTGATGACATGAAGAATCCATATAGCAGGATATTTCCTGTGACTAAAATGTTTTCTAGCTATGTGCAGTGCTCTCATAAATTCAGTCAGTTTTCTCTTCCAAGATGCTGGAATTTACATCATGGTTATTGTAGCAGTCTTTTCAGACTTCATGAAGCACTTTATTGAGGTGCTAAATATGTAGGGCTAGATGTATGAGACACATCCCTATCCTATATGTCTGGCAGATCTCTTGGAGATACTGTAACCAGGTACTACAGAGTTTTTAATACCTATGATCAAGGAAATTCCTTGGTTTCTTTTTTAATGTAGTGAGGCTAAACACTTGAGTTGCTGTTAAACAGGGCAGTGAGAATCCATCTGTTGAGAAAATTTGGGATAATTCAGTCACTCTAGTTCTCTGCTGAACAGATGGCTGAGAATCAGATGGTGGAAAATCAGAAGGCAGACTGAGAAGGACCTATAGAATTTTGAAGAATTTGGGCAACAAAGCTGGAAATGCTAGCATTTATTAAAATAGATACCATGGGTATGTGCTTTTTGAAGACTATATATTTAGTTTTGTGGACTTTGTATTTCCAGGATGGACAGCATGATTAACTAGGGTTTTCAAGATGTGTAAGTTCAACTATGTGTTAATAGATACAGCTTGATGCTTAATGGCAAGAATGTACTCTAGTATTGTTAGAAGGCTTGAGTTAAAGTGCTTCATGCATTAAATAGAGGTGGATTTCACAGTTAGATATTTGAGAGGATGGTGGGCTATATAGGTGTTGTTTCTGTTGATCATTGCCTGTGGTAGAACTAATACTCATTGCCCTTCAGACAGTATTTGTGATACAGTGTTTGCATAAAATATAATGTTTTTAATATAGTGCATTCTGGGGGCTGTCAGGATGTAAACAAGCTTAGCAAATTTATACTGTAGAGGGATTTAAGACAATATTTCTGCAGCTCTTAGTGACTTAGAACACTGAATTTTGCAGTCTCACTAATAGGTACTCTTGTTACTACTATTAATAATTACACAAAATTAATACATTTTGACATTTACAGTGTTGCATACATGCCTTTGCAGTCCACAAATCAAGCTGAAAAATTGCTCTTCCTCACTTGCTAAACTTCTGCATACTGCCTTCAAATCTTAATTTTTGTTTCAAACCTCTCAATGAACTAAATCAAACCAGCAAGATTAATTCTACATAAAGGCAACTGCAAGCCTAGTAAAGGTAATTTTTTGTCTGTCTGTTATTTTGGTCACAAAGTACAGAGCTGATTAAGAATTAATATCGGATTAACTTACTTACTTGCAGGTGTTACAGTGTAACAATGTATTTGATTTTAAATACAATATTAAATTAGTTAAGACTTACAGTTTGATAGTACTGAAATAAAATAGAATAAGTAAGTAAAGGAATAGGAGGGACATTATAGGACAGTGTACTGTCCTGCAACAGTCACCAGGACAAGTGCAGCCTTTCTGATTTTAATACCTGTGGGTTTTGCTTATATTCTAGATATTTCAAATCCTTATTTATTGTGTTTTTTTTTTTTTTTTTTTTTTTTTTTTTTTTTTTTTTTTTTTTGGGGGAGGTTNNTTTCTAATTTTTTTTTTTTTTTTTTTTTTTTTTTTTTTTTTTTTTTTTTTTTTTTTTTTTGTGAGGAAGATGTTTTAAATGTAAGTTACTGAAAACAGAAGTTAATATTGCTATTATAGATTCTGATTAAATTTATTTTTTCATTTGCTTTGCTACGGTATCAAGTACTTAGTGTGCACCCTTTCTACAAAGATGTACACAAGTGCTTAGTTTTTTATATGCGCTCCTGCAGATAGGAATATATTTTGAGCATGTGTCCTAAGGTTAGACCTGAGGGACATAAAGGGGGAATAAAGTTGTAGAGGGATGAAGCTGTGCTCAGAAGATAAAAATTCAGTTATATATCGGGAACTGTTGTTCTTCCATCTGAGAAGAAATTAGTGGTCACACTTCAGTAGTGGCTTGCAGATCAAATGGGAAATTTGCTCTCTGTACAAATTACTGTCTGTGATCTTCAATCTTTAGCTTGCAAAGGACTAAATTGGTTTGGATATTGAGCTGTTAATTTTAAGACTCTCTGTTATAGTTAAATTAAACTGATATAGTTAAGATAAACTGATAAGGTAGTAAGAGAGAATTTGTTGCTGTTGCAAGTGATGCATTACTCAATACCTGTTGTGTGTTTATATACAGATCGACAGTGGTGTTCTATATATGTGTCTGCAGTGTTTTAAAGAGAGGATTGTTCCAACTGACCACATGGAAAGTTAATGTCCCTTCTGATGCTACTTCAGAATAAGCATGTCATTACAACTTTTGGAACTCAGTATCCAGTTACTTAACTGTAACTGGGTTTGTTGCTTACTCAGAGTAGGTGATATATATGGCTAAGATATGGAATGAGCAGGGCTCCTTCAAGAGTTTCTATTGGGGTCTTATAGATTCTAACACCATGCAAAGACACGGAAACAACTGCAAAGTATACTTCTTACCAAAAATGTAACTGATATGGTCTTCCAATAGGAACTACTTAGGATGCCTGGATATCCACTCTAGTCCCTACATAGGAGACTATGACCCCCTTTGTGGGTCAGATTATAGCATACTCCTCATATTAATTATGTTTGTTATTGTGAGGCCCTCAGGTGGTTTGGTTTTTTTTGGTGAAGTTTGATCCACTAAGAGATGCGAGCTTTTAATGCATCTTGTTTCAGCTTTACAGAAGTACTCTATTTTTTAAAAGAATCATTAGCACTTCATGGTTTTTGACTGTTGGTGTAACTCACTTGGTCAAAGCATGGTTGTGGGTTCAATCCCTCTGTGGGGCATTCTTTTAAAAGGAGTTGGACTCAGTGGTCCTTTTGGGTCCCTTCCAAATCAGAATATTCTATGATTCTGTGTAACTGTCTTCCCAGGGAACTTTTTAGACTTGGTCTATGTCTTTTCCCCATTTGATTTCTTTAACAAAACTGAGCTAAACGTAGAAAATTCAGACCTGATTAATGCTACAGAGTAAAAAGGAGGATTATCATTAAGAATAATGTACACTAAATGCATTTGAAGATTGTAAAGAAACAAGTGTTGGAAGTGACAACTTAATTTATCCTATATCTGCTGTTTTTTAATTTTACACCTATAAAACTTGTTTAACATTTTAGTCATTGCATACAGTTTGAAGTGATGCTTATTGAAAAGTTCTAATCCAGTTACAGAATCCCTTTTAAAGCAGCAGATGCATTTTGCAAGTGGTGTAAGCCTATCAGGGATGTTGTTGGCTTTTCCTAAGTTTTAGCTTAGTAAATTACATAACTGAGGAAAAAAACCAGTTCTCAATTAATTAACTAGTTAATTCTAGTTTTCATTAGTGGCTGATGTTTCAAAATCACATGGTAATTTAAAAATAAATTTCAAATAGTTTTCAGCAATAATTATGAAAAGATCACATTCTGGTCATTGTGATTTACCAATTTTCAAGCTTTTTTAATACAAAACAATCACAAATTTGGTGAAGTATCTGAAACTCTCTGTGAAATTTCCACCTCTTATACTATTCAAGGAAAAAAATCTTTTTAAATTAAGGTATTGGATTAATGAACCCACATTTTCTAAGTCATTGCCAGAACGCTAGCACCTTACATGAAAAATATTTTGAAGACTTTCTTGGTATTTAAATGGCATTTACTTGAACAGAAAAGCCAGTGTCTCACATTCTTGTTTTTATTCTTTTTTCAAGGCAAAAATTTATACACAAATGACTATGTGGCAATTAAGCTGGTAAGTTAATATTTTTTTTAAGGATTTGGGATGAGAAACTAATCAGATTTTTCATTTCAGATGTTAATGGGTTGATTTCTTTTATTGAAACCTTTAATAGTTTTGTATGATTTCATTGAATTAGATAAAAGCAATTAGTGATAGATGTAATTGTGTAGTTTGGCCATATTGAATAAAAGTAGTTTTTAACTGTTGTCACTGTTTTCAACGCTAAATCTGGGTTTGCAAAGTCAATGATGGTTTAAGGCCGCTTCAAGGATGCTGGTCTGTGGCAGTAATCTTAGTAAGTTCCTTTGTTGTCCAACAAGTAGAGGAGCAACAAGTTTACTGTGAATCTTAACATCAGGTGACTACAGAAAAACTCCAGAAATTCTTGAGGCTACCTGCGTTTTATGTCCACACTCCTGCCCCCAGTATTTTTCATCTCTAACTGGTGGTATTTAGTACACTGGGATGTGTACATCACTTTGGTAGACGTGTTTTATTTGCAATAACACAGCAAATTTGCTGTGTAATATGTACTTCTTTTGCAAACATGATACTTTTGGATATCCTGTTAATACATCATTGGAATTACTTTGGTGACACCATATTTTGCTTCTGGATTTTTTTTAACTTCTTGGTAAATGACTGTTTTCATAACCTAAGTATTTAATGATGAAATTCACTTTTTTACTTCTTATCATTGATGGATTTTTAGGACAGGACTCTAGTTGATTTCTTGTTGCTGCAGTAGCACAGAACTTTTTACACAGCTCAGTATGGTTTCATAAAGTGAAAGGTGAACTGTGGGAACAGAAATGCGTGGCTTTAGATAAGAAATCTGAAAAGCATTACAAGCATAATAAACTCCTGAAAAATACTGATGTCACTCTCCTTGCTTTGGGAAATGCTTACTTTGGGAGTAGTAGAAGTTTGTAAAACATGCAAATTATGGCTTGAGAGAGCAACATTGGATACAGTTTTGAGGGTTATTGTGTGTTAAATCAGATTTACATTCATTTTGTTTCCACATATCTTGAACTTACTCTGTATGTCTGATGAAAGTTGAAAGTAGTCTGAGAATTCTTCTACTTAAAGGCTGTCTACTACAAAGTGCATTTAGAAATAGTTGCAAGGTAGTGGGGTTTTTTTTAAGCACTAATTACTTGATCATGTAGAGCAAGGCAACTTTTTTATCTGATCAGTTTTGATAAAAGCTTTTTTATGACATATACAACTTAGTAAGCTTGGCTACCATTTCAAACCATTTCAACTGTTACAGCAACAGCCAGCTTGCCAGCTTGTCTTGGCAACATATACTTTTCTTTATTTCCGAATATCTCAGTCCTAGAGCTGCTTGTTCCCAGCTTGAAGCAACTTTTTTGAGTAACTGGAAGTCACTAAAGAACCAATACAATTAAGTATATATGTAATTTACTGTTAGTGCTGAAAGAACTCTGAGTATGTAATGGATCTTTCCTCTTAAACTAGTGTAATGAAAAGCTATAATGTCTTTGCAATGAAAAACAGATGAAGGAATCATAATGAAAATCAACACTGGAGCTTGCATCATCATAGTAAGATAAAAATACATTTATTAGCAGGTAGAACTAGTGGATTTTTTTAATACGGTTCTCCCTTTTTTATTTCAGTATGTATTTCAGATACATACTTATTTCCTGATTGGAAGGGATTTGAGTCACAAGGTTTAGTCTGCTTAAAAGCAGCTGCATCAAACTGAGATTTATTTGGATTTTGTGTTTTTTCCTGTTCTTCTCCTATTTGAGACAGTGCCAGGACTTTTTTCTAACAGTTATAGATACAGTGGCATATCATCCTTTTCCTTTTTATATGTAAGCTTTTGTTTACTCTGGCACTTTTACTTTTGTGCTTTCAGAGCAGTCATTAGGCCTATGCTTAGCCCTTGTTTTGTTATTGTAACTGAAACACTCTTAACTTCCTCTCTGTTTTGCACCTGTTGTAGTTCAAGTTTAGTCTTCCTGAATGGGGTTACTTGAATTAAGTTTAAGTTGCAGTCTAAGCAGTTACCCTTGGCAGGTGTGGTTGTTGTTATCTCTCCTGCAGAATCCTAAAATCGTGTTTGCATTCCTCATGGTAGCATTCTGGTTTTGACCTACTATTGTCTTATGAGCAGCAAGACATCTCCTATGCCAGATGTTTTGTATATCAATGGTAACCATATACTCTAGTGCAGAAGGACTGTGTGGGTTTCTCTCAAGTGCAATGAATGGCTGTGTTTATGCAGCAGCTTTCAGGAGTGCTTCTGTTGTTAAAAATAAGTGTATTTTATAAGTGCTCTTTTGACTCAAACTTTTAAATTGTTTTGAATTAATATTTCCCTTGTGGACAAAATTATACAAGCATTTTCTTGTTATGGTGTTTAGGGCAGCTTCAGGACTTGTGTAAAAAAATAGCTTCAACAGTTTTTCTGCGTGAGGTCTGAGGGTTGTACAACACATGCATTTTAAAGTATAATGTTTATACATAAGTGCATATTTAATTTGGTAGAACAGCTACAGTTCCAGAATCTTCCTCTTCATCTGTCTTAATTCATTATTGCATGTTCTGGTTGGGCACATACTCCAGTTTGAGAGGTCAGAATAGACTTTTTTAAGAACTATAATGAAACTCTTAAGAGCTGGGCTTTTACCATTTCAGTGCTGTGTAGTGGTGTTTATATGTTTCTGCTGGTCTTTTAGTATACAAACTGATTTCTTGTAATCAGGTGGCTCTTTAGCAATAGTTGTTTAGTGTGTAAATGCTCTACCTTTCCTGCTCACCTCTTCTTATTGTTAGATTTTCTACTTTTATTACATGACCCTGCACTTGACTTAAACCTCCTATTCACTATTCAGCTTTTCCTTCTCCTTCATTATTTTTCCCTTTCCCTTTGACATATTTCTCCACTGCTCAAACTTACCCGCTCTGCAGATGCGTAACCACTACCAAAACACTACCTAAAGGAATTTCTGCTTGAGCATGTCATGACCCATCAGTAGGGGCCATGATGTTCATTATAAATTCTCATCAGGATTCAACAAAGACACTGGACATGCTTTGGGAAGCTCTTGTGCTTTTTAGTGTGATCACCTTGTGTCCGGCAACCAGCCCACTATTTATACTTGAAAGGTGTTGCCTGGCAAGCCCTTATATTTGAAGGTTTCCACAATTGCTGGGTAGCAAGCCTGTAATTTTTACAGTATACTTAATAAACTCTCAACTCCCTTATCGCACTACTTAAAGGTGCTGGCTCACAAACCACAACATTTCCACAACTCCCCACTCCCACAATAAACTTCAGTGTGGAGTATGGAATAGAAAATTATAGCTGTGCTTTGTCCAGACAGAGTGAGGGAGAAGAGAAATAAAAACAGAAAAGGAAGAGAACAAAAGCATGTCATCAGTCCTTAGATCCTGCCTTGGTCTCACTTGTGTGGCTGGTCCAGAGCTGGGAATTGTGACACAGTGAAAGAGAGGAAAAAGAGAACAGGGGAGCCCAGTCTGCTTCCTTTCATGGTTAACCTAATGCAGCCTCTTCCGCGAATGAGATGTTTTGTGCTCTTTTGTTCTTGGATGCATAGCCAGCCCTCCTCCAGGGAATGAGTACAGGGTGGTGAAGTAAGCACAATTCTCCAGGTGGAGCAGGGAGTTGGCTCAGCGCTGTGCTGCCCCACCTCAGTGAGACCCTCTCTTCTAATCACAGCTTTCCTGCCAGAACAGTCAGAATGTTTGAGACATACATGCTTGTGCAAGGTCCTCCACACCACCCAGTGGCTGAAACATTCCTTACAATTGGTTGGGCATACAGCTGATCTTTGATTGTGGTGATCTCTGTATATTGAACGCAGGGCTAGGAGAGGGAGGAAGCAGAAGACAGTATTCAGCTAGTCAAAGTTGCAAAAAAGGGTTATGCTCTTCATTAAAACTGGAGGTCCCACTTCTTCCAGTCCCCATTTGTGTCAAACACTTTTCCCACCTCGTGATTTAAAACCAGAAGAAATCTGGCGTCCAAGGCTTGATTCGTTGAACACGTTCTTTGGTTCCAGTATTTGGAATTGTTCAGCAATCTGGTCAGCAGCTTCCTTCATCTTTGCTCAAGCCTCTTCGTTTGAAGTTGCAGCTTTGTGAATGGTGACAGAGCACCCCCCTTTGGTGAGGCTGGGCATCCCATGTAATGCTTGTTCAATAACGGGTACGCTGACAGTGCATCCATCTCCGAGGGGTTGTCATATTGAACATTAATGGGACACAGGGAAGGAATTCAGACACTGCATTTCCATCCAGCATGGTATTCTAGTGTTAGGAATAACATTTTTCACCTGAGCTCCTCCAAGCCAACCCCAAAGGGGCTGTGTATTTCATCATTCTTCAATTATGATTGTCAGTAAGATTTAGGATAATTATTTGTGGCTCTGTGGCAACCTAATTCCTGCCATCAGGTAATAAACTGAAAAATGTACAGAGTGTTGGTCCTATTAAAATTTTAGCAAGTACAATATGTCCATTCAAAGTTCTAATACCAAGTATGAACCATGTTTCAGGGGAGGTCTTCAGGTCAAGTGTTACAAGTACTGTACGTCACAGCAGAAAAACTTACAGGCAACAGAAAGAATCTTAATTTCTTCCTGGGTGAAGCAGGCATGGCAAGGCAAAAACCTTGGCTGTGAAGCCTCCATATTCTTACAAATTCTTGTATTAGCTCCCAAGCTGAGTTGGAGTCCTATTACAGTAGTTCTTGTTTAACAGAATGAAGATAAAAGGACACATTGCTGAAACCTCTCAGGTCAGTATTGCTAGGTACAGATTATGAAACAACAGCAGCATGAAGTCAAAATACTTGGTGTTAACATCAGTCATTGCTTTGCCATAGTTCTTGTAGGAAAAGGAAGAATGCCTTGTTCTAAACCAGTGGTTGAAAAGAAGGTGCTATCCACTGGCGTGAATGCAATATTCTTTATCATGGGCATTGATAGCTATCCACAAGTAACTGCTGAAAG